TCCCCAATTTTAATCTTTATTTCCACTTTCAGTCTCTCACTCCAGAGAAACAAACATATGTCCAGTTTATTTCACTTAAGAGTATGGTCTCAAGGTCCATTCATTAAACTATAAATGCCTGAAACTTATTCTTTTCATGGCAGAGTAGTATTCTATTGTATTAAAAACCCACATCATCTTTATCCAATAGTTGTTTGATGGGCATTTGGGCTGCTTCCAAGATTTAGCTATCATAAATTCTGCCACTATAAACGAGTGTGCATACATCGCTGTGGTATGATGCTTTTGATTCTTTTGGAAAGTTACCAAAAAGGGGTTGAGTGGAACCTCTAGTTTTAATTTTTTGAGAAATCTCCACACTGATTTCCTCAGTGGTTCCACCATTCTATATTCCCACCAACAATGGAGAAGAGTTCTTTTTTCCCCACAGCCCCACCAGCATTTGTTATTGGTTGATTTCTTGATAGCAGCCATCTTTTCTAGAGTGAGATAGAATCTCAGCATTGTTTTAATTGCATTTCATGAATGACCAGTGATGTTAAAATTTTTTCATATATTTATATGCTGTTTCTACTTCATCTGTGAAGTGTTTTTTCATTTCAGGTACCCATTTTTGGATTGGGTCTGTAAATTTGAGGAATCTGATTTTTTAGTTCTTTATATATTCTAGATAATAGTCCTTTATCTGATGAAGAGCTAGTAAAAATTTTTTCCAACTCCGTGGGTTTTCTCTTCACTCTTGGTGTGCAAAACTTGTTTGCTGTGCAAAAGCTTTTAAATGAGATGAAAAAGTATAAATTTTTATTGTCCTTATAAAATAATTATTAAATATAGGGAATGTAGACCAGAAAATTGAAAATATGTCAAGATCACAGTTACAAAATATGTGAAATACAAGAAGCTAGCTCTGTAGGACATTAGAATCTAAAACTTAATAGACCAACATTATATATATTCAGAAGATATCTTTTTTTTTTAGAAAAAGACTTCATTCCAAGGGAATGAGTATTTTTAATGTTTTGGCTGACAGAAAAATAAATTCAACAAAACTAGTAAGTAATAATTTTATATTAATAGAAAATACAAAAATTATATCTCTGTTGGCTTCTATTCCATATGTATGTTAACCAAAGATTAAATTGCTTGAAAATAAATTTTTGGCATTCATGTAAGTGGTAAATGCAGAGTAAGAGGAAGCAGAAAGGAGAAAAAATTCAGTTTAAAATTTGTAAACGATGAAAGCTAGAAAGATAAATAAAAGTTAACCAGGCAAGGAAGAGAGCAAAGAAAATTATCTGAAGGCAGTGTGTGACGGAAATTTAGTATTTTGGTGGTTCTTTGGTTAGAGCTCAAGAGTGACTGGTATCTTGCCAGCTGCAGAGAAGATAGTACTGGTCATTGAGCCTATAGAGTTGATCTCTGGTCAATAGGAAATTAGATTTTTAAAATTTTCAAGGACAGTCATACTTAGTGTTTTTTTATTAATCTGTTTAAAATAATTTTCATGTAAAGTGGGAATGGATTCAAGTCTTTGCTAAGGAATCACTGGAGGCCAATGAAGTAGTACCTATATCAACATACTAACAGTTTGACAAAAGCCAATGGTAAGAGGAAAGGAGAATGAACTCATATATAAACATTTTCAAGACAAACTTATGAGAATTTAATATTGATTGGCTCATAGTGGAAAGGGGAGTAGTGATGCAGACGAAAAAGTGATATCTAGGATGGCTTTGACTTTGATGAGTGAGTACATGTGTGGCAGTGAAGAGAAGAAATAGATGGAGAAAAGAACATTCTGAGTATAAGAATATACTCAAAAAAGTATAAGATGCATCTCATTATGAAGTCATTATTGGTGTTGTTCATTTTGTTCTCTTCTTAGTGGGGGTAGAGAACATGTGGCATCTTTTTGCAGTAAGTAAAGTGATTCTTCCAAGTCCCCCCCCCCGACTGTATTAGCTATTCTGTGACTTATTTGAGTCTTCCTATTTAGATCTGCAGTAATCCCTTTAATCAACATTTGTAATTTTAAAAATATGAATCCTGTATATGTTTTGTTCTCTTTGTATTTAATGATTGGTTTTCTTTGGTGTGGTTGTAAATGGTGTTAGGTTTTTAAATTTTGGTTTCCACATATTCACTGTTTTGATGGGTCAAGCATCCTTAATCCAAAAATATGAAGCACAAATGCTCCAAAATCCGGTATGACATCACCAGTGGAAAATTCCACTCCTGATTTCATGTGACAAGTTGCAGTCAAAACGTAGGTGCACAACACCCAGTTTATTCAGCATGAGGAGAAAAAAAAATCCCTTAGCTCCTTGAGCTGTTAAGGGCAAATGTCACCATGTACAAAATTATTAAATATAATATGTAAGGTAGTTTTGAAACATAAATGAATTCATGTTTAGACTTGGCCTCCATCTCTGGAATATCTTCTTATATGCAGATATTCTAAAATCTGAAAAACATCCTAAGTCTATAATACTTCTGGTCCCAAGCATTCAGATAAGGAATATTCAGTCTGTAAATACAGATACTGTTTTTCTTGGGTGTAGGTCAGGTTAATCTTGCACCCTCCAACATTGCTAGAGTTGTTATTTTTAGCAAGTTTTCCCCTCATAGATTCTTTGAGATTTTTTACATAGATAATTCATCCTGAGATAATGCCAGTTTAATTTTTTCCTGCCTAATCTGATTATCTTTTTTTCTTGTCTACTGCAGTACTTAGAACTTGTGGTATTTTGTTAAAGAGTGATGAACAATGAACAAGAATATAATTATCTCTGGCCAGGGATTTAGCTCAGTGGTTCTGCCACCTGCCTTGCAAGTGCAAGGTCCTGAGTTCGATCCCCAGTACCAAAAAAAAGAAAAAGAAAAGAAAATAAGTATTTCATCCTTGGACTTAAAGAATTCAGCCTTTTACTTATAAATGTGGGGTTAATTGTGGCTTCCTTGTAAATATTTTATGTTAAATTGAGGAATTTCTCCTCAATTTCTGATTTCCTAAGAGCTTTTTTTTATTATTACGATTCAGTACTGGATTTCATCAAATACTTTCTCAACATCCATTTGTATGACATGATTTCCTTCTTTAGCCTGTCAGTATAGATTGATTGGTTTCAAATGTTGAACCTGCCTGGCAATTTTTCAATAAATACAAACCAGCAGTGATATATAATTATTTTTATATATTATTGGATTTACAGGTACTTTGTTGAGGATTTTTATATCTAAGTTCATGAGAGATACTGATGTATAGTTTTCTTTCTTTTTCTTTTCTTTTTCACATTGTTCAGTTTTGGTATTTTGGATGAAGATAATACTAGCTTTATACCGTGAAAGGCAATTGTTCTTTTTATTTTATGGAATAGATTTTATGAAAGTGATATTAAGCTGATGTTTTGGTGTAAGCTTGTAATCCTCAGTTACTCGGGAGGGTGAGGCAGGAGGGTAGCAAGTTTGAGAGTAGCCTGGGCAACTGAACAAGACCTGGCTCACAATGAAATTTTAAAAGGGCTGGAGATTTAGCCCAGTTGTATAGTACTTGATTAGCATGTGTGAGGCCCTGGGTTCAATCATTCGTACCACGAAAAAACTAGTGAAAATTTTTTGTAAGTGATAAAATTCTCTAGTGGAGCTATCAAACCTGGATTTTTCCCCCCTAAGATCATTTAAAATGTTTATTTAATTTCTTTAATTGCTATAGGACTATTCAGATCATTTGTTTTATTTAGTTGAGTTTAGTAATTTGTGGTTTTTGTGAAATTAGTTTCTAACTTGTTGAGTTTATGAAGATAAAGTGGTTCATAGTATTCACTTATCCTTTTAATATTTGAAGGATGGATAGTAGTATCTTCTGTTTAATTCCTGATATTGGTAATTTGTGTATTCTATTTACTTTTGACATCTTGCTAGAGGTTTAGCAAAGATTCTGCTTTTTGTTTCCTTTTTGTTCTATCTTGTTTTCTTATGTGCAATAGTATTGATTTTTGCTCTATTTTCTGCTTTCTGTTTGCTTTGAGTTTTTCTCTTCTTTTGCTAGTTTTTTTTTGAGATAGGACTTCATATTATTGATATGAGGTTTTGCTCCTTTCTAAATGTAAGTATTAGGGGGCATAAACCCTTGTCTTGGAGCTTTTTTTAAAGCTGTGACTGTTGGCATTTCCCACTTCATAAATTCTGCAGAAGCCAACTTGGGCTATATTAAGCAACAACAAAGCTGAAGAAGTCACTGTATGTTATTCTTAGGCCTCACAGCCACTAGTCTTTTCTCCACTTTCAGAGTCAAGTTTATTTTATATATACATATGTTCGAGGGTTTCGGCTGCATTGGGTGGGAGGAATAGAGAGATGTGCATCTATTCCTCAACTGATTTCTAAATGTATATACAATAATAGCTTGACTCACAAATGCTTCTGTTTGCAAACAATTCAGTTCACAAAAGCATTCAGCAAAAGTTGTTTCTGTTCTCAAACTGCATCAGGTGATATACATGAAAACGGCCATCTTCCCCACATAAACACAAATGCAGCCATCTTTACCAAAATTATAAAACAAATTAAGTTAGTAAACTGAGGTATCACTGTATTATTCTGTGTAGCTGAAATACTAACACTTTTTAATTATATGAGAAAATCTTATGGAAATATTGTTTGAATACCCAAAAATTATAAAAACTAGCACAGCCTATGTAATCAGCTAAAATGATTTTTTTTTTTTTTTTTTGGTACTGGGGATTGAATTTAGGACCTTGTGCTTGCAAGGCTGACGGTGGCACTACTGAGCTAACTCCCCGACCCAACAATCATTTCTTTTAAGCATTTTCTAGAATAGTAGCAAATAATATGCTACACCTATCTTATTTGTGTTTTAATCACCCTGCTTTTATGATGTTAATGGATATTTTATTGTTTTACCTGAAGAAACTTAGCTCAGTTGAGCTATAGTGAAGCCTTTTATGCTTTTGTAATAAGCTCTTTTCTGTTTCTTCCAGGGCTGGTGGACTAGGCCTCAATTTTGTTGGTGCCAATGTTGTTATATTATTTGATCCTACTTGGAATCCAGCCAATGATCTTCAAGCCATTGACAGGTATAATACTGACAAAATTTAAAGTGATCTGCAAATTCTTTTAATCTAAAAATACTCTTAGGTTGTTTATACTAGGGCTAAAGAAGAGAAGGGAAAGCTTCTATTTAAGATAACCCTGATCCTCTAAATTCAAGTAGCAGAACAATTATAGCCATTTATTTTCTTTCATTCTCAAACCTATTATTATAACAAATGACTATGACTAAAGAAAACAAAAATAAATCTGTAATACTAAAATAAAATAGGACAGTTTACTACCGATTGATGGGACATTTTATGAAATTCCTTGAAGAAAGAAAGCAAATAGAAGCTGTGTGATCAAGAAATGTCCAGTACCAAAAAAAGAAAAAAAAGCTGAATGATTGCTTGGTTCCTTTTTAGTGTGCAGAAATTTTACATAGAAAGCTCATGAGTTCTTTGTTGAAAATCTGGCACTAAAAATTTAACACACCTTCAATCCCTAGAACCAAAAATAAATAAAATAGAATACAGAAAGAAAATAAATCAGTAGAGAAAAGCTGCAATCTAGATGGTATAGGAGAGACAGAGATTCTCAGCATTAAGATTAGCATCCACAGGACATGAGAGTAGACCAGAGTATATCCTTGTAGGAAGCTGATTAATGTAACTTCTTTCTCATGCCTCATGTTTAACGAGAGGTTATCGATAACAAGTGCTCCTTCATTGAAGCTGAAATAATAATTTGATAATTTCATAGATAAGTGGGCAATCTGCTGTAGAAAAGTTTCTAGAATTGGCATTGGATCTGGATTATAAGTGTGCCAAACTTGAAGTGATACTAGCTCTTCATGGGACACAAAAATAGGAAGTGGTTAGATGAACCTGTTGCCTGCATAGAAACCCCAAGACTGTCTCTTCAGTACAGTTCACCTAATTCCACATTTTAATTGTAAATGGAAAATTACAAATTATGAGGCATTTTCAAAATATCAGTAAGAAAGAAAAGAAGTAAGGGGAAAAATAGTCACTGAAGGGACTGAAAGAACAATGGACACTAGAATAAATTAAAAGGTATATAAAAAAGAAAATGTTCTTAGAAATTAACATTACCAAAATAAAATGACTCAATAGCAAGTCCGAATAATAAAATGGATAAGGCTAATGGAGAAAATCAATATAGAAGATGAATGAATATTTTTAAACATAAGGTCAAAAACCAAGTAAGTGTGAAACAGGAGTGAAGCAAAATCCCAGAAACCATCATCTGTCTCTGTTCCAGAAAGAATAAAACCTGGAGGTCAGGGGAGAGAATTGACTTTATAATTATAATTAGGGAAAAGTTTTGTTGATTTTGAAGGGCCAATAGATACTAAGTAGGAACAATGGCTGCAAGGGAGAGAAAACATGTATATTGGTGATATTTCTAAGACCCAAATATGAAGAGAAGGACTAAAAGATTGCAGAGTGAGAAAGAGGAGAAAATATTTTGTAAAAACAAAAAAGCTACTTATTGACAAATGAGAATAGGACTCATTTCTCCAGTTCAGACTTTGAAGAACAGATTTTTCATCTGCAATATAGTATTCTACAGAGTTGTCAGTGTGATTAAATTTATGTGACTGTATGTGAAAGAAATTATTTTGACTTTTCTCATCAGTAGCTAATGTATCTATATGGAAGGAAAAATATAAATGTTGAAATCCAGAACATCTATTGTTCATAGTCTGAAAACATTTCTTAAAGATATAATCCAACAAATGAAATATTTATGTATATAAAAAAGCCAAAATATATAAAAATCAATCATAAAGAAAGTTATGATATTTATAGTTGTCTAAAAGTTATTGATAGTGTGGCTAAGAGGCTTCATTGCAGTTATAAGGAAAGAATTCTCTAAAATATGAAAGCTTGGCACAAAAACAAGAGCTAAAATTCTGTGCAATTTTAATAAAAGACCCAAGTTGCGGTGCTGAATGGGTAAAAATTAGAATTTTTCTTTCCTCAGAAAAAAAAATCAAGATATCCTGATCAAAATTTTTTTCCAAAATGATTCTGAATGCTAGCAAAAAATTAATGGGCAATAACAAAAATAATGAAGAAGCTGGATATGGTGGTGTATCCCTGTAATCTCAACTAGCCTGGAGGCTGAAGTAGGAGGCTCACCAAGCTCAAGACCACACTGGGCAACTTAGAGCCTATCTCAAAGTGAAAAACAAAAAACGATTGAGGTGCGGATCAGTGGTAGAACACTTCACCTAACATGTATGAGGCCCTACACGACATATATACTTATGTATGTATGTAAACTCATACTGTAAACTTATACATGCATGTAAGTAAATAAGCTTAGTAATCACCTCATATGCTGTTTAAAAACACAGATGATCAGACTTCATCGTCAAGGTACTCTGATTCTTTAGGTCTACAGTGAGACTCTGCTATCTAAGTACTCCAGATTATACATCAAAGGGCTTTATTAACAGAACAAAAAGGCACTCCATGGAATGAAAGAAATTTGAAAATTATGTATATGATTAGGTATAGTATCTAGAATATGTAAAGAATTCTAAAAACTCAACAATAAAAAATATCCAAATCAAAAATGGGCAAAAGACACCAATAGACAGTTCTCCAAAGATAAGCAAGAAATAAAGATACTCAACATTACTAATCATTAGGGAAATACAAGTGAAAACTACACTGAGATGCCGCTTTACACATATTAAGGTGGGTGTTAGTAAAACAAGTCTTGGTGAGCACATGGAAAAATTGGAACCCTTATGCTTTGCTGATGTAAAATGGTGTGGCCACTGTGGAAAACGATGTGGTGGTTTCTCAAAAAATGCTACTATGGGTACCTACCCAAAAGAATTGAAATGAAGAACTTGAACAGATATTTGTTACTCATGTTCATAGCACCTGTATTCATAGTAGCCAGGACATGGAAGTGTCCCAAAGCCTTCTTAAAGAAATGAATGTCTAAACAAAGTAGTAGCATATGTGTACAATGGAATATTTTTCTGCTAGAACAGATAAGCCAAACACAAAAGGATAAATGATTTTATGACTCCACTATATGAGGTACCTGGAATAGTCAGATTTAAGAGATGGAAAATAAAATTGTTAACATGGAATAGGAGGATGGAAGAATTGAGAGTTACTGTGTAATGGACACAGAATTTTATTTAGAGTGATGAAAGATGTGTAGGGGTGGATACTATGATGGTTGCAAAACAATGAGAATTTACTTCATGCTGTGAATTGTACCCTTAAAAATAGTTAAATTGGTAAATCTTATGTGCATATATTTTACCATAATTTTTAAAAATGTCCAGTGTAACTGAAATAATTGATCCTTAATTTTCACTTTGAGAAACATTGGGAATTAAGTGTTGTACTTCTAAATGAAACTTCTGAAAGTTTGAAAAATGAAATACGACTAGTGTAGTTAATGATGGGGAATAGAGTATGTTGGGAAGAAAAAGCTCAGCATAGCAAATACAGAACAGAACAATGTGTCAGAAATAAATGAAAACAAATATGAATGAATTAAACTAACAAAAAGAAAAAGGGAATAAAAAGACTCTCAAGTTTATGCGCATTATGAAATATATGTAAAATACAGAAGACATAGAAGGTTGAAAATATAAAATAAATTTAATCGGGAAGATGGTAACAAAATTCAGTAATGAGTGGCAATATTAATATCAAACATAATTTTAACAGAATCAAGACAAAAACATTAAGCAAAACAAAGTGAGACATAATGCATCAGAAAAATGTACTAGTCATAACTTACCAAGCCAAAACTTTTATGATAAAAAGTGGACAATCATGGTGGGACATTTCATATTGCTCTCTCAGAAATTGACAAATCAGGGCCGGGGATTTAGCTCAGCTGTTCAGTGGCCTGCCTTGCAAGTGCAAGGACCTGAGTTCAATCCCCAGTACCAAAAAAAGAAAGAAATTGACAAATCAATTAGGCAAAATAAGTAAGTAAATTATTTGAATAACAGTTATTCACCTTAGTTTAATAAACATATGTAACTTTACAACAATAGAAAATGCTCTCTTTAAACAGTTGTAGAATGGTTTTTAAAATGAGTACACATTTTCATAGAAATCACAAAAGCTAGATTCCAGCTAGAGTCCAATAAAAGTAAAAAGCCTAGAAAATAACAATGAATGTGTAACTGATAAAATCTAGCCACATAGAAATATTGAAGTATATTTTTATATAACTCATTTAAAAATAGAAGAGTGATGTTAGTGTGATTATGAGCTAGGAAACTTTCAAGTTCTTTTTCCCTCTTGGTAGCATTAGAAAAGCAACTGGAGACTGACCAAAATAACTTCATAGGAACTCCATAAACCAATCAGAGTTCTCCAGTGACCAAGTGAACTCCTTCAGTTCAAACCATGGGAAATTCAGGCCTTTCAAAATCATGGGAAGTTTATAATGCTTTTTACTCACCCTTGTCCCACCCTGCCATGTGCATTACAGCTGAAAGGTGGTGGCCTATTGCTGGTGCCTTCCTCAGGCCAAAAGCACAGTGCAGAATTCCTGTACAACCTTTGATCTGTGTGTGAGCTTCCCAAGGGACTGATTTCTAGCTTATGTCACTCAACACAAAGGTAGGCATTATGGCATTGCTTGGATCCTGAGGTGGCAGAAACTATCAAAGTAAGTGGACTCTGATAAATGAAAGCTGCAGTGGATCTGTATTACTTTGGACACCTGGGCAAAGGCTAGGGAAGAGGAATGTAATAGAACACCTAAAGCCCTAAGAATCTGGTATGAAACTCTTTGGGGAGACATTTAAAAGCAATCAGGTATATAGGGAACTCTTAATACACACACACACACACACACACACACACACACACATGCATGTACGCACGCACACATGCATGCACGCACGCACATGCATATTCCAGCAGGATATATACCCAGAGTGAACTGACAGTTTGAAGCCTCCAGCCTAAGCTACTACTAAGATTTAAGATTGACCCTTGCAAATTGCTGCAGATCTTTTACC